TCAGTATAAAAATAAATATATTTGAATTCCACTTAAGATGAGGTGAAGGTTTTCCAAGCTTGGACTGAGGGGCCTGGGGTCAGAGGGGAGGGAGGAAAAGTGACCGTGGGAGGGGTCAGGGAGAGCGGTGGGGAGTGGGCATTCGTTTGGAGAGCCAGCAGCGAGCTGCACTTCCAGCTTATTGGACTGTGGGGAGCAGCTGCCGGGGGCCGGCGGCTGGGGGGCTCCCTCCTCCTCCCTCTCACTCAGTCCAGAGACAGCATGGTTAGAGAGACAGAGGTAGATTAAAACGTCATGATTAAAAGCAGATTAGTTATCTAGGCTTCTCAGATTAAAAAACCAAACAATCAAGCAATCATTCCAAAAGGTAGCTTTGTGGTACCTCTGCTGACCCCATGTGTGACCTGGGCTGTCCCTGGTGGCCCCGTGCCAGCCCGGAGAGAGTCCAGCACTCCAGGGCCCTGACCCAAAGCAGGGCATTCATTGGCTGGGGGCCGGGAAGAGGCGTCGGGTGGTGGTGCCCGTCGGGTGGTGCCGGTGCCCCAGCCCGAGGCGGCTATTTCCGCAGACAGCGCTGTGCCAGGATGGCTGCGTCCAAGGGGTTCATGGGCTGCGCGTCGTGGCCCAGCCGGCGCACCAGCGGCGCGCTGCCGAACTGCCGCTTGGGCACCCAGCTCCGGGCCTCGTGGATGGAGCTCTTCTCCTCGGCCAGCAGCAGCTGCTGCCGCATGTAGTTCTCAAACTCGTACTGGGAGCACTCCTCTGTCACCTTCGCCTGCGAGGCAGAGGGAGGGAGGGAGATAGAGAGGGGGGGGGGAGGCGGGAAAGAGAGGAGTGGGGGCGATGGACAGAGAAGAGCAGGCAGTGAGTGTTAGATCGCCTGGCTCCAGAGGTCTGTCCCCAGGCCCCACACCCTGGGACCCCATCCAGCTGAGGCAGAGTGTGTGGGCCCCTGAAGCCCCTCAGCCGACCTGGACCTCGCCTTGCTGGCCACCCTGGGTGTCACTCCAGCTGAAGCAGACCTGGGATCTGAGCCCCTTCCTAACGCACTCACTGACTCTGAAGCTTTGGCTTCCTCGCCTGCGAAGTGGACAGTAATCTCCCCTCAGAGAGGTTGTCAAGCACCGGGGAGGGGCCGGTGCAGGGCAAGTGTGAAAAAAGAGGCCTGGGGCTGGCTAGTGTGGCCCAGTGGCTAGAGCATCAGCCTGTGCACTGAAGGGTTGCGGGTCTGATTTCCGGTCAAGGGCACATACCTGAGTTGTAGGTATGATCCCCAGCCCTGGTCCAGGCACGTGCAGGAGGCAACCAATCAGTGTGTCTCTCTCATATCAATGTTTCTCTCCCCCTCCTCCTCCCTTCCACTCTCTCTAACAAATATCCTCAGTGAGGATTAACAAAAAGAGGCCTGGGCAGCCGAGCTTCGTTATCCGGGCCCACGCCTGGAGTGGCCCAGGCAGACGGGACAGACTGAAGCGGAAGGTGCCGATGTTGATCAGCTGGGGAAAGCAGGGCGATGGAATCAACTGGGGTTCAAGGCTCAGCTCCACTACTTCCCAGCTGTGTGGCTCTGGGAAACCTGTTTTACCTCTGAACCTCAGTTCCCACTTGTGAAACGCAAACGCGGATAAGAGCACAGGCCACACAGGACTGAAGGAGACGTGCCGGGTGGGCATTCCTCATGTGCCACTGGTGATCTCTCTCAGCTGCTGAACACCCTGGGGCGGTGGGAGCTGGGGGTCGCCTGGGACTCTCTTCCCAGAGCCAGGAGGCTCTGCTGTGGCCCCAGGCCGGTGCCTCCTGGTGCTCCCTGCCCAGTGCATCCCTCCCAAGGGCCTGGCCAACCTCTGTCCTCCAGGGGGCGCCCTAAGATCACCCAGAAGCTGCCTGTGCCCAGGTCTCTGCCCTCACTCCGGGCCCAGCACTTTCTCCAGTGTGGGGAACAGAGGAAGAGAGAAAACGGGGAGAAAATGAATCATTTGGAAAATGAAAAGCAGGAAGGCTGAGAGAACCATGTGAGTCAGAGGGGCAGAGAAATGTGACTGTTTAAAGGGCCAGCCCATGGCAGGAAGAGGAAGCTGAGGGAGGGCCGGGCTGGGCCGCTGTGGGGCCTCCACCTCAGCTGCCCTCTCTCAGGCCACAGAACTGCCAACTGAACTGGACGAGGCAGGCCCCAGGCAGCACAGGGCGAGGACTTAGGTCTCCCTTTCCCGCTCTACGAGCTGGGGACAAAGCTGAGAAGGCCCTGTGGCCTGCTGGGAGCTGCCACCCCCTGTCCCTGCCCAGCCTGCCTTCCTTGGAGGCTGGTCCCCCAGGACTTGGGTAACAACCTGTCTGCCTTTCCCAACTCACCTCCTGGGAGCTGTCCGCATTGCTCATTTGGTCGTCGATGTCAGGGACCACCTGCAGAGGCCCGCTCAGAGACGACAGGGACTGCCTGCAGGGGAGGCAGTCACGTCACACGTCAGCTCGGCTCCAAGCAGCCCCCAGCCCCTGCTCCCCGGTCCTCACTGCTCTAAGACTTGGTTGAAGTCAAAAGACCTGGGTTGGGTCCCAATTCAGCCCCTTCCTGATGTGATTAACTCTGCTTCTCCAAACCTCAGTTTTCCCATCCAATCATAGGGGACAATTTCTACCTCACAGGCTGTGTGTGGTAAGAGCTCAGTGAGATAATGCCCTCCATCACTGGCATCGATGGCAGGCAGGAGGTGCTAGAGCCAAGCGCTGCCAGGACCCTCCCAATCTTGCCCCCGGGGAAAATCTGGAAATTGGACTCTGCTTGGCAGAGAAACAGGCCCAACCTCAGGCTTCTTTCCTGGCAGGATGGGCAGGACCCAGCCCTGCACCAGTCCACTCACCACGAAGCGATGATGGCACTGAGGGCTTCCAGGACGTCGGCGGCAGCCAGGCGCTGTTGGGGGTCGAGGACCAGCAGTTTCCGGATGAGACACACGGTGCTCTCAGAAACCCGCCCGTCCCTGATGGGGGAGGGGGAGAAGGGGAGGCTCAGGTCGGGTGGGCTGGCCTGGGTCTCGGACCCAGGACTCCAGGCCTCCTTGTGTTGTCTCTGCCCCATGAGCCTCCCTCCCCTCCCCAGTGACCCGGACTCACTCGGGGATGGTGTACTCGGCGGCCTTGATCTTCCGGAAGAGCTCCTGGGGGATGCTGTCGTAGAAGGGGAACTGGCCGTAAAGCATGGTGAACAGCACCACGCCCATTTTAACACATGTCACTCGGCTTGCCCCGGTACGGCCGGCCTATGGACACACAGATGCACCCACTTAGCACAAACCCGGAAAGAGACAGGCCTGGCCTCCCTCCGCTTGCCAGCTACCTGCTAAGTATATCCAGGGGCCCCTCTACCTTACCACCCTCACTTCTGGTCACCCTGCCCCCCTTCCTCCCAGAGCAAGCTCTTACCCGGTCCTCCCCCCTCTCTGCCGCCTCTTCAGGCGGATTTAGCTCCTGCTCTGGAGGCCCAGCTTGGCAGGGTGATACCCCACCTCGGGCCTGCCTCCTGCCTCTTCCTCAAAGCACCAGCCGGGCTGCCAGCTCTCGGCCCAGCTCCTAGCAGAGCGGCTCACAGAGCAGGTGGCCAATGTGCATGTGGAACAAAGCTGTGCGGCTCTGGACAAGTCAGCCACACCCATCACGGTTCCCTCAGAGCACTGAGCACAACCTGTAAGGACCCCTTTCTTTGTCTGTCCCCCGTCTCTCCATGGGAAGGCAAGTTTTCACATGCAGGGGCCTCTGCTTCGCTCCCCGCCGAGCCCTGCACCCAGCGCCCAGCACCCAGCATGGGCTCTCACTGGCTAAGGGAATGACTGTCCAGTTGGGTCAACTCTCGGTGCTAACACTGGAAGAAACACTTGTATCTCATTAACCCTCTAGCACAGCTCTGTGAGTTAGATATTTTCTGTTTGTCCACAGAGTAAAATGAGGCCCAGGGGTGTGATCTAAGGTCACATGGCTGATGGAAAAGCCCTGCTTCTCCCATTGCCAGGGCAATCTGTCCATCAACCCTCAACAGCAGAGCTCCTCCCACACGCAGCCGCTGCCTGACCTGCTCCATACCTAGGATGTGGGAGCGCCAGCTCTCCAGCTCTCAGAAAGCCCCTGCCGCCAGTGCCTGGGACACCAGCAGGCTCCGCAGCACCAGGTTCCCTGGACACAACTCAGCCCTCCCATGTGGAGGAGACACTGCTGGGCACCAGGCAGTGCCGGGACAACCTCCGCTGGGTCCCCAAGCCTCCTGGGTGGCTGGAGATGCCTTTGGGGTGGAGGACACTGGTCCCCAAGGGTCCCCCTAGGCCCACTGAAGGTCAAGCAGCTTAAGGGGATGGGACTGTGCACCGAGGCGCTGTCAGACCTCAGCCTGCGCTTCAAAAGGTACCACGGACCCCCTTCACCAAGCCTGTGACTTCTTCTCTAAGTGGCGGAGAGAGACACGACCCCAGAGGCAGCTGAGGCTGGTGCAGCAGGCAGTTGTGTGCAGATAAGCCTCTGCCCAGCTCTCTCGCCCTGAGGCAGCACGGCCCCACCCTTTTCCAACCCCGGATGCTGACCTTTGTTCCCAGGCCCTGCTCCACCAAGTGGGAAACCAACAGAGCCCACTGGGCCACTGTGCGTAGCTCTGTGCCGCTCCACGGAAGGTACGGCCTCTCCTGCAGCAGCGGGAAGGTGGTCCCCGCCAAGATGTCCCAGATGGAGCCTCAGGCAAGGAGGGTGGGGAACCGCGCCAGCCCAAGCTGCCCTGGACTGAGATGACAGCCGGGCGCCGCCTCTAGCAGACAAGCTCTGACCAGCAGGCGACCTTTCCCTGAGCTTTGGCTTCTGCGGAAACACTAACCTTCAAGCTTTCCTTTAGTAATGATGATGCCAGCTAATGTTTGCTGAGCCAGACACGAGGTTAAGGCCTCATCTAATCCCACAGGGACCCACTGAAGTAGGTGTTATTAGCTTCCCAACTTTACAGATGAGAAAGTTGAGGTCCAGAGAGATCGACTCTGCGACTGTGAGGAGGGGACGCCTGTGTGTCTGGTGGTTACACACCCCGGGGACAACCCTGGACCTTCTTCACATGGAATAGACAGCAGATGATATAAACCCTTGGTCCCCTACGGGGTCAGGACGAGAGACCCAATTCGGTAAAGAATGAGCGGGAAAAGGAAAGAAAACCTCTGGTGAAACAGGAGCCTGGGCTTGAGCAGCCTCCGGGTTTACTATTAGCTATGACTTTGGACAAGAGATTTAATCTCTCGGAGCCTCGGTTTTCTCATCGGTAAAAAAGGAATACCAGCAGAATGAGTGAGTGATGTCTTTGAAATGCAAATCTCATCCTGGCACCCTCAGTGAAGACCTGTTCAATGGCTTCCTTTTCACTTGAAATAAAGGATGACGTTTGTTTCTCAATGAGGCCTCCATCAGCCCTTTCATGGTCTGGCCCCTGCCCACCTCTCTGGCCTTGAGCCAGGCTCATTTTCTGAGCAGCAACCACAGGGCCTTCAGTCGGTTCTCCTCCAATGTGCTGTGCTGCCTCCACCTAGTCACACTCCCCATGATTCCCACTTATCCTTCCCATCTCAGTTCAAATGTCACTTCCTTGGGGAAGTCCTTCAAGTGCCTTATTTACACGCACAGAAATCTTCCCTGCCAAGCACTAATCTCAGAGAGTAAATGTGCACTGGTGTGGCCACTGCTGTCTTCCTCCTCCATGAGGCCCCAAGGACAGTACTGGCTGAAGCCACCAGGAAGCCCACAGATAGGGTTTGCGGAAGGAGCGAATTGCTCCGGCGCCGGCTGTGTGTTGGCCTGGGCCCACTGCCTGTGCACCGCACCTACCGCTGAGCACGTCGGGACTGATGTAGGCGGGGCTGCCCCTCTGGTCCTTCAGCAGGTCCCCCTCGCTCACGAGGTGCTTTCCGAGGCAGAAGTTGGTGATGGTTATCCGATGCGTCCTGGGAGTGGGAGGCAGAGAGTGAACACACCTTGGTTCCCATGACACCCCTGCTGCCCTCACCTCCTGTCCAGTGAGCAGAGGACTCATGCCCACATCCTCTCTGCTCCCCAGGCCCTCGCTGCCTTCCCGGGGCTGTGTGGAGAGTGCCCGTGGTGCTGACTCTGGCCACTCACTCTTGGTTGCCACCTGCTGAGCCGTCCAGGCAGGGATCTGAGTCATTCTGACCCGGTGAGTGTTTAAGGGGAGCTCCCCTGAACCTGCTTCCCTAGCTGAGTCTCGGAGTCTTGGGGGGGGGTGGGGTGGGGGACAACAGCTCAGGGCTCGGAACAATTTGCAGGGAGTCCCCAAACAACCTTACATCACGTCTAGATTGGGAGTGATCAGGGATAGTTCAATTCCCACATTTCCACATGAGGAAAAGCCCACAGAGCTGTGGAGCCCACCCTTAGGTGCCACTTTTGTCTCCGTCTGCTGAGCCCTCTGGTCACCCCCATGTCATTATCAATCCGCATCACTGACAGTCTGAAAAGCGAATGTGTACTGAGCACCTACTGGCCTCAGTGCCTGGTGATGACTGTTTCCATTCAACCCTCACACGCCAAGAGGGATTTCAAAGACAATGCAACTAAGGCACAGAGAAGTGCAGGGACTTGTCCAGGGTCACACAGCTAGTGTGCAGTGAACAGGATCCACACTGGGTCTGTCTGACCCTAGGGCCTGCCCTGTAGACTAACCCAGGTGCCCACTGTGTCCTGGACAGTCCCCAACTCTCTCATTCCCCGCCTTGCCCTTCAGATTCTCCCCTGACCTAGAAAGCCATGGATCCCCCATTGGAGTCGTGGCTGAGAGCAGCTCTGGGCTCTGATCCTTTCTGGGAGTTTCACCATGTGAGCAAAATGGCCCAGAGAGGACACCTCACATCCCGTGGGGGCGGGGGTTTGGGGGGCAGTCCCCTTCCAAGAGGCCAGGGAAGGCTTCTTTGTCCCACTGGGGACAGCCAGTGAGGAAGGGTGCTTCTCTGCCCACAGACGAGCAGGGGCTACTGCCCGGCTCTGCTGGCAGTCGCTGGCAGGGAAGCAGCACAAGGGGCCGCGGGCCACCTCTTGAGGATGGAGTGCAGGTCGTGTGGGTCGTGTGGGGCTGAGGGCGGAATTCCCCAGAAGCTGCGTCCAAAATGCTCCCGAGCCTTTCAGCTCTCCGGGGAATTCTGCTGGCACAGGGCTTGGTGCAAAACAAAGGCCAGTCTGTGCTCTGCATTCCGAATGGAAATGTCGACTCTCCTCTCCACACAGGCCCGCCCGTCAGATGCCACAGAAGTCGGACTGGTGGCCCTAGGGCAGCTGGAGCCTGAGAGAGCAGGCAAAGGGTCCAGGCAGGGATCACTGCACGTCAAGCCGTGGATTGCTCCCGCCCTGAACCGCCATGTCACTGTCCTGAACGTGAGACTGCTCAGCCTCTCAAGCGCATGGTCCCCAGAGCAGAGGCACTGGGTTTCCTCCCCGCTCAGAGACGGCTTGGCAGCTGCAGCGCCTCCTGCAGGCGCTCTCTGAGGCTGGGGACACTGGGGGAGGACAGCGCAGCGGGCAGTTTGGTGGGCTTGGGAGTCAGATCCTGGGTTCCGTTCCTGGCTTTGCCACTCCCTGGTTGTGTGGTCCTGGGCATGCTATTTAGTATCTTGCTAAACCTCAATTTCCTCGTCTGTGAAATAGGGAAAATATTAGCACCTAACTCCCAGGACTGTGTTAGGGTTTAACAAGGTAAGAACTTTATCTCAGGGCAAGCACTGGGCCCAGGGCCTGGCGAATAGTCACTGATTACTAACTGCTAGCTCAGATTAGCATGTCATCCCCCGACAGTGGGCAGAAGCTGCCAAAGGAGAACCCTGGGAAAGGCACCATGTCTGAGGGGCAGGAGAGAGGTGCCACTTTGTGTCCACAGGCCCTGGAGCCCACATGCCTCTGCCAGCCTTCTACTAGTAAGTGTGAGGCGGGGGCGGGGGGGGGGGGGCTGGAGGAAAACGCGCCAGAGACTCTGCAGGGTGGGCAGCAGGGTCCACTTGGCTTTCACTGCTCTGCCCGCTGAGGACCCTGGAGCCTCTCCCACAGGAAACCACATGGTCAGCTCCAAGACCTCCTGAAGCTTGGCGACGCTCCCTGCCGGGCCACCACCGCCCAAGTTGGCTGGGTGGTGCACAGATCCCTGGGAGTCCAGACCCCCCAGGCTCGTCAGTCCTGGCAGAAGGGGCGAGGGAAGTGAGGGATGAAGGGAGCTCTGTGTCAGCAGGATCCGCTCTGAGTGAGTCACTCTTTAGCTATGGCCCTTTGGGCTACCACAGTGTTATTCTCCTTTTCTAGGAACTTGGTGTGCAATTTGACTACCCAAAAAGAAAGGAGGAAAAGGAACCCACAGCAAACCTCACATAACCCCAAAAGGGGATTTCAGATTTCAACCCGTGCCTTTCATCCACAGCAGGGCGGACTTGCCACTGTGCTGCTTGGCAAACACTTCTCCCGTTTCCTCCCCGGGAGCACCCTCTGCTGTGAAGACCGGGCAAGTCCTCCAGCTTGTCTGCCTGCCTCTCCAGCTGGAGTTAGGGCCTGGCCTGAGGGGCATGAAGGGGTGGAAGCGCCTCCAGGTTGACTTTGAAAGGATGAAAGCAAGGTCTGGAGAGGACAGGGGTGGGCCCTGGACTCTCAGTGTGGGTGTCTCTGCACCATGCCACTCTGCCCTCTTCCAGAAGAGCTGGGAGTCAAGGGAGAGGGGGCCAGAACCTCCGTCTGACCAGCACAGATGGGACTGTCAGATTAAAGGACTGCTGCCAAGACGAGGGGTCTGAATGAGGTACTGGTGTTCTCAATCAGAGGAAACACACACACACACACACACACACACACACACTGGCATTACTCAAGAGAGGTGTGACCTCTGGACTACCTTCCCCGAATGAAGGGGCCTAGAGAACTGAGAGTTGGAAGCAAATGCATCGCGGAGACAAAGAGGCTTGAGGCATTGGGGTGGACACAGCGCAGGAGCCCTGACTGTGTACCTGCAACCCTCGGGGTGAGCCACCAGATCCCTTCCAAGATCAAGGCCCTCTCTCTGGCTGCTGGGAGTGTTGGTTTCTGACTACTCCTACCTGTGTCCTTCTCGGGAAGTGCCCTTATCCAAAGGAGACTGCCTAAGCTTACGCCCCACCCCGGGCATGGGCCACATTCAGTGGCTGCCCCAGTAGGGGTGCAGGGCCCTGTGCCCCCTTGCCTTGATCTGGGACACCTGAAGGGCCACCTGGCTCTCAAGCTTTCCAGGCCGAGACCATTTCAGGACTGCACCAGAGTTCAGCGTCTGCCTCTGCCCGATCCCGCCCTCTCCTCCCTGAGAGCTCTCCCCAGTAAAACTCCTGCACACACATCTGAGTCTGCTTCCTGGGACCTTGACCTATTTTGCTCATCTGTCATTCTTTCACCCATTTGTCCTTTTTTACAGTCACTTACTGAGCACCCACCAGGCATGGCCAATGAATGGACCAGGGAGGATCTCTGTACTCCTTCCCAGAGCTCTGTCTGTGGCCTTGAAGACTCCTTCCTCATTTCTACGTAGCAAGAAAACAGAAGCAGGCATCCCACCCCACCACCGGGATTCCTGGGAGAAGTGGGCTGTTTTAAGCCAGAATCCCCCTGGGAATCTGCGGGCATGCGATAGCTGGTAGCTGCAGCATGTAGCCTACTCCAACCCCACAGTTACCTCATGAAGAAAAGCAGGTCTCACCTTTTATTGAGCACCATGTTCCCGAGCTTCAGGTCTCTGTGCACAATGTTTTTCTGGAAGACAACAAAATGGTTTGCACCATGAAGGTGAGTGAGGGCTGGGGGCGGCCCAGCCAGCAAGGTGTTTGGGAAGGTGGGATAAAACTCTGTGACATGCCTTTTAAGGCTCTGCCTTGATTTGTAAGCCCCAGACAGACCAGGACTATTCTAAGACCTCATTAGCCATGTGTATGGATGGGGTAATAGGTGAGCTTAGGCAATCTCTGCCCCACCCAGGGCGGGTTCCCAGCTTTATCCGCTCAGGGCAGCAGCCAGTGGGAAAACCCAGTCCTTTCTCCACCTCTATCAAACTTCTTATTGAAAACTAAGCATCTGCCTGGAGCCGGAATCAGAGATGAACTCTCCTGACTCTGGAGACCAAGTCTGCAGGCTTGGCCCACAGAAGCTGTGAGTCTGCAAGAGGCTCTCCTAACCTGGGCATTGGGGTACTTGACACCTCCAATCCTAGGAAAAGCTCAGAGGTAGGCTGTGGCCCCAGTGGATATCTCACAGTCAGCACCCAAGATGGGAGGCTCATGTTTAGCTCCTTGCCTGAGAGGGATCCCTGCTCTGGGCTCTGCTCCGTGCCCATTGCGCCCCCCCCCCCCCCCCCCCCCGCTCAGGATGGTGGGCTGATGCCTGCAGCACTGTGCCTCCCCAGGCATACATGTCATCTGGCCACTGTTCCAGCTGCAAGCACACCTGGGTGAGGGCGGGACAGAGGGTGGCTTTCTGTGGGTTGTGGGGCCCAGGATGCTCTCAGGCCAGAGGAGAGGTTGCAGAGGGTGCAGCCTCACCTGGTGCAGGGCTTCCACCACGCGCACCACGTCGTAGAAGATGACCACGGTCTCCCGCTCGCTGAGCCTCTTCTCCTTGATGACGTAGTGCTGCAGGTTGATCAGGTCGGCGGTCTTGTCGCTGAAGTCGTGCGCACAGAGGCAGTCCAGAACAAGGCAGATGCGCTTCTTTGTCTTCTTAACCATTCGGCTGGATTCTGTGTCCTCAACGATTTCACAGGTACGGTCCTGGGAGGCAAGGGGGCTGATGGAACTGGGGCCAGGGCTTTGGGACTCTCCTCTGGAGCCAAACACACAAAGCAATGAGGGAGCCGGGGAGAAGCCTGCATGTGTGTGGGTGAGGAAGGCCTGAGGCCTGGGCAGCATGGACCATGGGGCAATGCCTGGCTTCCCATGTACCAGTGCCAGGCCGAGCAGGGGATGAGGTTACAGTAGCTCATGTGCAAGATTCATGCTTTGACTCTAATACTAAGGGTTTGGATTAGGGCTGAGCATTTAAAGCCAAAGGGTCCCCTGAGTCCAGAGTAGAGGCTGTAAACCCAGGACCCTGGACACCCTCCCCTCCTCGGCACTCCAGGGATCCCAGCAACGACCACAGCACACTTCCTTCCAATGTCCAAGTGGTGGCTGTGAAGTGTTTTGTGTGTCCCAGACAACTGTTTCACATGGAAGAGGGACTCATGGGCAGTCTCTGGCTCCTCACCTGCAAATGGGAGCCAGTAACCCCTGCCTCACAGGTCCCTGGGAATAAGACAACCAGACTGAGTGCCAGTCCCCCGCCCCAGCCAGGGCTCAGTAGGTGGGCCCTGCTACCAACACCACGGTGGCAAGTTCTGCACCCACTCCCCTGCTGAAAAGACATTTCAAGTAAGAAAAAAACAGGCACAACACGGGAACCTTCATCCTACCAGCGTGAGGAGGCCCTCGGTGTCATCCAGCCCCTGGGAGCTCCCGGGGACTGAACATCCACACTCTGATTCTCCCTTCCCCAGAGACCCAACAGTGTCTGGCACGCAGCTGACTCTAGAAACACTAATCACCCAGGTTCTCTTGTCTACAACGATATGGCCCAGGCCAAGCTTTGGAAGCTGGCAGAAATGAAGTACTAAGAAATCACAATCTCCCTCAGTTTGACTTCATGCTTAAGGGAAACACTAGTTTTCAGAGTTGCCTGATGATATAGAGTTGCCTGTAATTGTGCCTCAGAATGAAGACCTGAGTGGGGTGTATGTGTGGGGTGAGAGGCATTCTAATTTATTTTATTTCGGGAAATCAAGCCGACAAGGAGTTTTTACTGCCTGAAATAACAGCCACGATGAGAGTGCAAACGGGGCAGCTCGGGGCTTTGCACACTCATTCATCTTCCCACCACTGAACAAGGTGGACATCACTGTCGTTAGCCTCATGTCAAAGATGAGGAATCTGAGGCCAGGGGACCTGAGTGACTTGCCCGAGGTCACACAACCTGAACCCAGGACTGCTGGCTCCAAAACTTGTGTGCACCCCCTGCCACCATGCTGCTTTCCTGCACCAAGTCCATCGGAGCAAGAAGGGGCCCTGGCCAGTGCGGCGGCTAAGGGCACTGCAGAGGCTCTGCTGAGTCCTGAGTAGGCGGCCTCCTGGGCATCTGAGCCGCTTCTCTACTTCTGAAGACACAATTTCAGTTCCGCCCCGAGGAGGGCTCTTTTCAGGGTACACATTGCTAATTAGCACCTTTCCTGAGGGACCTGGGACATCGGGGCACGGGCTCAGGGACACTTGTTGAACAAACTGGAATGCCTGGGCGGACAGGACTGTTGGTGCCAAAATAACTGAGGTGGCTCCAAGTGCCCGTTCTTCCTCACAGCCCTCCCTTCTACCCTGGCCAGGCCAATTCCTGACAAAACAGTAGAATGAGCCTGTGTCTTTAAATGACTTCCTGCTTTCCTCTTTTCTCAGAAAATCAGCTTTTCAAAGAAAGGCTGTAAGATGCGAACTGTGTGCCTTCCTGCTAGGCTGTGATCATCACAGCAGGATTGTGGGGCTGACCCAGTCTGACCTCTAGCCCAGCGGTCACCAACCGGTGATCCACAAACCACTGGTAGTCCGTGAGGTCCGAAAGGTTGGCGACTGCTGCTCTAGCCCGCCCGGCCCAGAAAGTCATGACACACCCAGCACGCTGGGGTCACAAGGGTGAGCTGCTCCAAGAACTGGTGTGGCCCTAGCAAGTGCCAGCCCAGGGTGGGGGGTCAGGGAAAGGAGGGAACAGGCAGCCACTCACCTGGAAGAGCCCGTGGTGGTGAACCACGCCGTCCTGTGTGTGGAGGAGGGAGAGCAGAGAGTACTCGGTGTGTAACAGCATCTTGCCTTGCCTCTCCTCTTGGCTTTCTATTCCTTGGTCCCCCCTCTCCTCAAGGGTAAGGATCTTTAGGAAGGCACACACACACACAAAAAGAAAAACAACCCAAAAAACCTTACTTTATAGAGCAGAGTGACCAGAACAGGAAAAGCAGGGGCTCACATTCTCTCATGCAATACTTGCACACACACACTCACACACACACCTACGAAGTGCAACAGTTTTTCTTAATGTGATGGCAATGTAATTTATGCACAGATAAAGCTCGTTAAATCAAGAGCTGTTCAGAGGGAGGCTGTGAACTTGATTGTTTCTCAGGAAGAAATAGTGCCACTCTTGCTCACAAGTGGTGCAGGTGCGAAGGGAGAGAAAAGGGAGCCAGGCTGGCAGGATGGCCCGAGTCCCCGGGACCCTGGCCTCAGGTGCCTCACTTACCTTCAGCTGATAGAAGTCATCTGTGCCATCTTTCCTCGCCAGACACTGCACAATGCTTTGCACCGGTGAGTTGCCCAGACGGGGACCTGCGGCACAGAGATCAGCTGGCTTACTGCTCAAAAGCCTATCTATAGTGGCACCATCACCACCTGGTCTTTGGCTCGTTCTTCTCCTCAGAGGGCACCACTCAACTCACCCCATAACAGCTCTCCTGGGGGAGAGTTTTCATGGTCTCCCCTCCAAAAATGGAGGCTATGTGTGCATCTGCCTGAGGTACACTTGGCTTTTACAGTCCCATTCTAAAAAAGAGGGGTTTTCAACAGTGGGTGCAGGCTGGACTCTGAGGAGCATGTGTCAAAAAAAGAGCTCCCGGCTGCAACGTGCCCCTCTGAATCAGCAACTCCAGGGTGAGAATCCAGGAAACCACAGCTCTGACAGGTTCCCACAGTAGCCTGATATAGCCACCTGGCCCCAGTCCAAGGACCAGCTTTTGGGAACTTGTGTATTTCTGGAGAAGTATACTGCTTGTCCTGTGAGAGCACCCTGCCTGAGCTTTCAGGGCATAAAGCCGATGATGTCACCATGTCACTGCACTGATAACAACTCGTAACAGTGCTCCACAGCTCTTACTATGCAATCAAAACTCCTTTTTGGACATCCAAGGTCATACATGATTTGGTTCCTACCCATCTTCCTACCTGGTTGTATTTCCCCACTCCACTCACCACACTCTAGCTCAGTGGTCAGCAAACTGTGGCTCGGCAAACTGCGGCTCGCGAGCCACATGCGGCTCTTTGGCCCCTTGAGTGTGGCTCTTCCACAAAATACCAACTTCTGTGCATGAATACCGAAGTTTCAATCGCTCTGTACGTGCGTGCCCGCACGTGGTATTTTGTGGAAGAGCCACACTCAAGGGGCCAAAGAGCCACATGTGGCTCGCAAGCCGCGATTTGCCGACCATGGCTCTGGCTACACTGGCTTCTTAATTCCTAAGACAGTAAGGCCTTTCCTGCCTCTGGGCTTTTGCATTTGCTGTTCTTTCTGTCTAGAATGCTTTACCCCTGCTTTTCACATGGTTGGCTCCTTCTTATCCTCAGCTGTCAGCTCAATGTCATCTCCTATACAGAACCTTCCTTGTCTATACTATCTCCTGGCCCTTCTTACTCACATCACCTTGTTTACTTCCTTAAAGGCACCTACTGGGCCTTCCAGTGATGATCTTGTGTGTTGTTTACTGTTTCTTTTTGCAACTAGAATGTTAAGTTCTGTGAGGGCAGGAACTGGTCTGTCACATTCACTGCTGCACCCCTGCAAACAGCACAGGTCTGGCCAGAGTGAGCACCACTGACTCACTGAATGACTGCAGCTGGAACTCTCTTGTATCCTTAAGTCCAGATGTTGTTCCCCCACACACCCAGCCTCTGGCTGCTAGGGAGTCAGGGTCCTCAGAGCCCACCCCACCTGCAACCCTGAGCATAAGCAACCGGGACTTGCTGGACCTCTAACATCACGCAGAAGGCCCAGCTGCTCCTCGGGACCACTGGGAATACCCAATTCTACAGGATTTCTGTGCCACCTTTACAGGAAGTTTCAGGGGCTATATTGACCACTGTGTGAAATTAATTATGCTCTCCAAGAGTGGTCCACAAAGTGACTTGGATGGCCCTTGGGATTCAATGCAGCTTGTGTGTTTCCCATGGGCGACATCGTAGGGACAGATAGTCTAGCTCTCAGCTAAGACTGATCTAAGGCTGGTGCCTCTACAACAAAGGTGACAATTCTTGGTACAGGATGACCTAAAGCTCTGGGCCTCCCACTGCCATAAACAGACTCTAGTTAAGGCGGTGAGGCTGGGCCAGACCCAGGGTTGGTTAGGACCCCACACTGTGGTGGGTGTGACACTTCACTCTGCGCGTCCGCAGGTCAGACTGTGCATGCCAGTGCGCCCTGCCCCTGCCCCAGCACCCACTCACCCAGAAGGGAGAGGCTTACCCAGGATGAATGGTCCAGCTCTCTTCGCATTATTTCCAGAAATCCCACTTCCTAGAGCCTTCGCCCTGGCCGACGTTTCCCCAGCCCCTCTGTCTGATGCTCTCCGCTTCATCCTCAGCTCTAGACAAGACAGAAAGAGCCCCTCTCACTGAGCAAGTCAGCGCATTTCCTTACGCTAACCCAGCCTCCAAGTCTCTGACTTGGGGATGCGTCACACAGCTGCTGCTGCTGTCGCTGCCACCTCCTCCCCCTCCCAGAGGAGAACTGAAGGTTCCCGGTGACAAAGAACCAGGGCTCCTTTACTTGGGATTAATTAGGGGCTTGAGGGAGTGTACTGGTTACAGAGGTGGGCAGCCAGCTTGCCTCAAAGGGGCCGGTAAAATGCAGAGAGAACACTGGGTTTTGTGCAGATGCAAATTGGGTTCCCCAAGAGATCACCACAGAGAGGAGAGCTGGCTGAGAATTTACTATTCCCAAAGTAAGGCCTTCCCCCCAATTTCCTATAGCCAGTGGCCTGAGGGCTGATCCCTGGGTCCCACTCCACCCCCAATGTTATGACCTCTGCGGTGTGGTGGGGTGTGGACCCCGGGAAATGGTGAACATGAGGCCCGGGGATTCTTATGCCCACAAAGTATACTGTACAGGTCACTACCAAGAATCTCCTCTCTCCAACTCCCCTTGACCCTTAAGTCCTCTCAGATGGAAGAACATCCCAAAGTTGTCAATCGGGGGGTGGGGTGGGGTGGGTGTTTAACTTTGCTTTCTCTTCCTTCCTCCTATCTTCAAAATTTTCTTAAATTACTTTTAAGAAAAATACTGTGCATTTAGGAGCCAGATAAAGAACACCAATGGAGGTCACGATCACTATGATTTGCCTGGTAATCCCTATCTCCTCCAGGGTTAAAACAAAAGGTTGACCCAGGAGCTAGATGCTTGAAGATGTACATCTTTAGATATGGATTTTTAATTTGTTACTAAAATATATATATTTTTTATTGATTTCAGAAAGGAAGGGAGAGGGAGAGAGAAATAGAATCAATGATGAGAGAGAACCTCATTGATCGGCTGCCTCCTACACACCCCACACTGGGAATTGATCCCGCAACCTGGGCATGTACCCTGACTGGAAATCAAACCGTGACCTCCTGGTTCATAGGTCAATGCTCAACCACTGAGCCTCACTGGCCAAGCTAGAATGGATTTTAAAAAAGGAGTCACTCTCTAGCTCTCTATAGTTAACACCTTGGGAATGCAGCGTCCTGGAGGTGGGGTGAGGAAACAGATGCACACAGATGAGTTCCACAGAGCGGGCAGAGGGCCACAGGGATGCCCAGGGAAGGCTGGTTGCCCAATCCCGAGGAGAGGCCCTGGCCCGAGGTAGGTGAGGGGGCTCAGGGGAAACTTCTCTGAGGAGGTGGTACTGGAATGGGCCAGGCAGAGGAACCTGGGTGAGCAAACGTACGAAGGTAAGAAATGACACATAAGCAGCCAACTCCAAGCAGTCTGTGTCACTGGAGTACACGGTGTGCAGCAGGGAGTGGAGAGAGGTGACCAGAGGAGGGGCCAGGACCACATCTAGGGGACCCGATGGCCATGTCAGGAGTGAAACCTTTAGAGGTTTAACAATCAGCCCTAAACTTCTGTAATTTATTTCTTCATACAAAAGTAATTGGCATTCCCTGCAGAAACACTAGAAAATACAGATATGCAAAAATAAGAAAGATACCCGTGACCTCACCACCCAGATGTAATCGCTGTTAACATTCAAGCAGACTTTCCTGTGTGTGTTTGTATAGGTGTGTGCTTACAGTGTTTTATGGTATGTAAACTCATTAAGGCTGTAAACAAACTAAAATAAAACACCATATTAACATCCCCTCATGACAATATTCTTCTGTAGCATCACTTGAAATAGCTGCACAGTCTCCTTGGTAAGAATATGTCATGATTTATTGGACCACACCCCTATTCATGGACATCTACTCTATCCATTTCTAAATATTTTTATTAACAGCCATACACCTACATCTTGGCGTACTTGTCTCTCTCCCTCAAGATAAACTCTAAGAAGTGGAATTGCAGGGTCAAAAGGGGAGCATGTTTTAAAGGTGCTTCACATATACTGCCACGCTGCTCTCAGGGAGGCTGAGCCAATTGATATCTCATCAGCGGTGTGGGCGAGAAAGGCCCAGGACCTGCTCCAGGACTATGTCCTTATTTTAAAGACTGCCAATTTGATGGGCAATAAAAAGCATATCATTGTTTAAATTAATAATTCCTTAGTTATTCATGAGGTTGAACTTATTTCACATGCTTACTGGTTGTATGTATTATTTTTTATGAATTTCCAGTTCATATTTTTCTATTTTTTTTATTGTTGTGTATTAGTTACACTGGTTTTTAGAAACTATACATTAAGAATATAACTGGGAACAACAGGGGAGAGGTCAATGGGGGGAAAAGGGGACATATATAATACTTTAAACAATAAAGAATTTTAAAAAAAGAATATAACTGGCACAGGATGTCGTTTTTCTCAATCTTTTAACTTTTTAAAATGAAGAAAAAAAAAAGGTTAAACAGTTCTCTTTTCCTTTAGTTTGTTTTTGCTGTTATTCCTGGAAGGCTGTCTCTACTCTGAGAACAGGTGTGGATCCACTAGTCAGGTTACTTTAACTCTTTACACGCTGTCATTCTGGCCCTTCTTCTAAATCCCAGGAGACTGACTCCAGTAGTGAACTGGAAGTAGGAGAGATGGCCTGATGTACTTCTAGCCCCTCCCAGGCTGGCTTCCCGTCAAGCCCGTTTGTTTCAGAGCTGTGTCACTGAGGAGCAGTCCCAGGGTTTCATTATAAGAGAAGCTGGGACCATGTAACTCAGTAGGCCCTGACCGTCCACAGATGGAGAAGCCATGGCTAGGCTCCGCCTTGACTTCTGCCAAAGCTCATGCTGGAAACAGACTCAAAATCGTTCACACAAAAGCAGGGAAAAATAAAACAGCTTTTAGACTTCATAGCTGGGCACATGTGCCTAGAGCAGTGTTCCTGTTCTTTGCCTGGCTAACTTCTATGCATCCTTCTCAATTTAAGTATCACTTCCTCAGAGAAGCCTTCCTGGACAGCCCCACCACCAGTGGGTCCCAGCTAGTCTCACTTGGCTTCCTGTAATTTTCACTTGCAGCACTTTCCATATTTTATGGTTATATATTTATTTGTGTGTTTATATGCTTAATGTCTTACCCCCACCACTAGACAAAAAATTCCATAAGAAAAAAACACACCATTGGACCCCAAGTTCCTGGCCCCGCAGATACTCCACGCTTGGCTGGATGCCTTCCCTCCAGGTGTGGGTAGTTCTCACAGGTCAGCAGCCTTGAGCTGGAGCTGCCCCTGTCCTGGTAGATAAGCTGGTTTCACGCCATTGTGGCCCTGTCCCCTTTCTAACGGAGCACTAAGCCTCCTCTCTTTCCCTGGTTCCCTGGAGAGTACCTCGGAGGCCTCATCATATCTGTATAGACGCTGCTGAGGCGCCTACGCACAGGCATGGTCTAGACTAGACAACAGTTTGCTGCGAGCAGCTGCAGCACAGACAATGAGTGGGCTCAGCTTGACCCCACCCACCCCACTCAAGATTCAACTCAAGTAAATGGCATGGGAACTGCTCCAAATGTAGGCAGACAGAAGGATGGGAGCAGACGGGCAGGGAGAGGGAAAAGATGCTGCTGGCAGGGGAGGGGTAGCAAGGCTGCTTTCCTTCCTGAGCATCCCTTCTTGCCACGCAGAGCTGGCGGATGCAAAGGAAGCAGCATGAGGAGGGGCGTCTGGAAAAGCGGAAGCTGCTGCAGGCTCACTAATGAGGTGAGCAAAGACTGAGGACAGACCCTCCTGCCCCTCAACCCCCACTAATGCACAGGGAGGGTGTGCCCGCTTTCAAATCCTCCTGATGTGTCCCCCTTCAGAGGCACACCTGCAAATGGCACCAATGCTCCCTGGGGGCATCCTGCCTTCACAGCGAGATCTGCAATGTGGAAGCTCTGGCTACTCTGGTCTTACAGTGGTTCTCAACCTTCCTAATGCCACGACCCTTTAATACAGTTCCTCATGTTGGGGTGACCCCCTACCATAAAATTATTTTCGTTGCTACTTCATAACTGCAATTTTGCTACTGTTATGAATCGTAATGTAAATATCTGATATGCTATTATCAGATACTTGGGGCCAGGCTCCTCCAGAGACACTGGTCCTCAGGTGGGGTGAAGAGCCCTGGCCCAGCCTGTCTAAGTGGTAGCCGTTTGCTGGTGCTTCCTGGGTGCACTGCTCAGCTCCCCAGGAACTTAGCAATCTTGGCTTGGAAGTCTCTGGAGCTTTAAATCTGCCAACTATTCGTGCGGTATCCTCCCACATCATGGCTGGTTCCCTTAGAACCTGGACTCAACAGGAAGCTGAGGGGTGGAGGCTGGGAAGGAGGCACTGAATGAGAACCCAGCCTGGCAGCCCTGCCTCCTGCAGGCTGCGCTTCTCAACCTGGATAGTGGGAGCTGGGGGGGTCGTTTGCTTGGCCCAGCCTAGGGAGCAAATTGTGGGCCTTAGAATAAGGGCCAACTCTGTGACAGCCATCATGGCATGCCCAGAAGAGGGGAGGCCTGCCCTACCCTGTCAATTTGGGGTTAAGGTCATGTCACCCCAAAGCTGCTTGACCATGTGGGCCCAGCTCTCCCAGAAGGCAATGAAGGCCAGGCCACTAGCAACACATAAGGTTCTAAGTCCCATCTAGCTGAGTCCAGGGGTGTAGTGTGACAGGGTACAGCATAGTTGGGTGGGGTAGAGCCGGCAGAACACACTATGGCAGGGCACAGTTCAACATGGTGGACATACCACCAACCCCAAAAGGAGGTGGGCTAAAAAGAGAGACGGTACTAAGGCCTCCCAAGCTCAGTCTTCCTCAACTCCACCCAACTACAAAGCAGCTGAAGCCTGGCCAAGGCAAGGAGGAGACCCTCACTCACACCAGAAGCACCCCCCAGGCCTTCACACATGCGCAGACGCATGGCCCTAGGCAGGGGACACTCACATGTGCACAGAGCCAGAGCAAACCCCCACTACCGGCAACATGAAGGGCAGCTGTGGGACCTGCTCCCATGTGCAGAAAGTTCTGCATTCAACCTCATCCTAGGCTTCTTGCTCTGGGTTCCTGGAGACATGTGTGACCTTGCAAACCAAACCGGTAAAGGCCGAGTACGAGGGCAGTCCCCGTGACCTCGGCCCAGCGCAGCACTTGCTGTGTGTGCATGTGTGACAACAGCAGCTGGAAGCCACAATTTGTCAGCAGCCTCTTTTTGTGCTCCTGCTAGAAGCCAAAGGACTGTACCGACACTGCAGGATCAGGCTGGGCCGAAGCCATCAATATTCAAGCCGTTCCTGTCAGCAGCCCCTATCCCTACTCCCATGTTTCCTGGGTCGGTCAAAACAAAACAAACAAATCAACAAAAAGCTTCTGAGCTGTACAGGATTCTGTCCTTTGGACAGGACCTGGGGCAGTGCCTGCTGAAGCAGGGCCCCACACCTCTGTCCAGCCCACCTGGCACCTGGAAGTGCACACAGAACTCCCACCCACCCCTAGCATCAATCCTTTCTGCCACAGGTAAAGGGGCTGCGTGTCCAAACCCACAGCAGCTCCCAGGAGGAGGCCAGAGTGAGTCTCTGCTCACAGGACACCAGGGCAGCAGAACAAAGTGGTTAGAGCAACGCGTGCTGGTCTTTTACCTGTCAAACAAAGAGAAACTCATATAGCACGTGGGGGTGAAAGGACTGGGGGCTCCAGCTGTCCTGTGGGTGGCCCCATCCTATGCCTCAGGCTGAAGGGATGGGAACTGGAAGGGAACCTCTGAGTCAGAGCAAGGGTTGGATGAGCCACACCCGGGTTCAAAGCCTAGCACCATTACTTAGTAGTGATGAGATCTTAGACAAATGATTTGCTCTGTATCTGCAAAGTGGTGTGCAATATCTACCTTCCAAGGCTGGTCTAAGGATGGAGTGAGATAGTCCACACAACAGGCTCAGCAGAGTTCCTACTGGCACATTGTAAGCATGTGATGAATTGTGCTGTTTGCTTAAAACACAGTAGCTTTGAATTTCTCCTGCCCAAAGAGAAGGGGATAGTTAGGTACTGAGTTAGGAAGGTGGGGAGCAGACGGAAGGTAACCAGATTAAAGGCTGAAGAGACCTTAAACCTGCTGTCTGCTGGCCTGAGACTACAGGCTGGGGGTCTGATGGCCAGCCTGAGTGACATGCTCAACTCAGTGTGGGGGGAAGGAGAGGCCTGGGCATTAACTGCGCTGCGGAGGAGGAGAGCGCTGTGGGCAGGGCCAGTGCATTCTGTAGCAGAGGGCAGAGTACAGTTGCCTTGTGGGCCAAGGGGAGCACCTACTCTTTTGGGCAGAGGCACACCTCATCTCATCGTCTTGTTTTGTTCATTGGTCTATGGGGGAAGCAAAAGCTGGAGCACCAGCTGGCAATTATACTCGGGCACAGGAAGGGACTGTAGGAGGATGAGGCCATCTCAAATGGGTCCTTCATTATGATCCGGTGATGGAATTAAGACCTAGTGCCACTAGTCCAAGATCTCCTGGAGCAGGACTGGGGTGGGGGGGTGGGGGGTGGGACAGAGCACATATACTGGGCCATAAAACTTATACTATCTAAGGACATAACTTTTGTCACTTTCTGCACTTGTCAAAATGACTGAATGGTACAATTAAAAGATCTGTGAAAGTCACTATGTGTAAATAAATTAATAAAAAAGCAAGCTGCAACCTTAACCAAATGGTCAAAGTTAATACCACCAATAGCAGAACAAACTGGCATCATGTTACTCCTAATATGATGCACTTAGAAAGATACATCACTTATGTTACTTTTTCTTTTTTAACTAAAAATGCATAAACCACATCTGATCATGAGTCACACCCAAACTGAAGGACATTCAACAAAACAGGCCTATATGCTTCAAAAACATCAATGTTGGATAGGTTTTTAAAAGGCGGAAGAACTATTTGAGATTAAAGGAGACTAAAGACATATGACAAGTAAATGCGATGGGTCATCCTGGGGTGGGAGTGGGGGGGAATTATAAAGAATATGACTTGCGCCCTAACCGGTTTGGCTCAGTGGATAGAGCGTCAGCCTGCGGACTGCAGGGTTCCAGGTTCGATTCTAATCAAGGGCATGTACCTTGGTTGCGGGCACATCCCCTGTAAGGGGTGTGCAGGAGGCAGCTGATCAATGTTTCTCTCTCATCGATGTTTCTAACTCTCTATCCTTCTCCCTTCTCTCTGTAAAAAATCAATAATATATGTTAAAAAAAAAAAGAATATGACTCGGAAGCCCAAGGTTGTGGGTTTGATCCCGGGTCAGGACACATATAAAAATCAACCAATGAATGCATAAATAAGTAGAACAACAAACTGACGTTTCTCTCTCTCTCTCTCTCTCTCTCTCTCTCTCTCTCTGATTTTTAAAAAGTTAAAAAAAGAATATGACTGGGCAACTGGAGAAATTTTTTTTAAATATATTTTATTGATTTTTTTACAGAGCGGAAGGGAGAGAGATAGTTAGAAACATCGATGAGAGAGAAACATCGATCAGCTGCCTCCTGCACATCTCCTACTGGGGATGTGCCCACAACCCAGGTACATGCCCTTGACCGGAATCGAACCTGGGACCTTTCAGTCCGCAGGCCGACGCTCTATCCACTGAGCCAAACCGGTTTCGGCAACTGGAGAAATTTGAATATGAACTGTGTATTAGATAATAGTATTGCGTCAATGTTAAATTTTCTGAATTTGAAAATTGTATTGTGGAATAGTACAGGACGTAGGAGATTGTCTTTGTTTTTCAGGCGATAGATGCTAGTGTATGTGGGTGAAGGGTCATGATGTAATTTACTTTCATTTCAGGTGCCTGGAGACAGAGGAGAAAGTGAACCTGCTGAAAAAGCTCCCCAGACCCTGGAGGAATATGCTGTCAGATTCACAGGTTCAAAGGGATTTCTGGTGGGTACACAGCCCACAGTGGCAGAACTTGGAATCTCATACTTGTTGGGCAGAGCCAGCCCAGCATGAACAGAAGTTCTGTCTTGACTGTTCCCCTTCCTTCCCCACCCCAAACACTGTGCTAAAGGAATGGGGATGGGGGTGGGGAGATGCCTTTGTGCAATCTCCAGGTCTGCCACCTGGTGGCGTCTTTCTGCAGCTCATCTTCAAAGGGTTTCTCTTGGCACCAGCATGGGGCACTGCTCCCCAGGATGCTGATCAGGAACGATACAGGAATGACTCCACTAGAAGACCCCACCTCAGCTGCCTATGTAATTGGGGCTGGACAAACAGATTCCAGCAGCTGCACTTGATCCCCTGCTTGGGGACCTGGGGCTATAGTATCTGTCTGTCTCTGCTGTGGGGGGTCTGCCAATACTCCCGTGGTCTTCAGGAAGAAACAAATTCCTCAGTGAGCCTGGCTAGACCCAGGCTACCTCTCCAGTGTCACTGCCCTTTTATGCCTCCTACATCCAGCCACACCAAATGACACAATTCCTTGATTGTGCAATGAACAGGTTTGCCTGCCCTCCCCTTTCTGTCTGGCTTGTCTTTCTCCCTTAGTCCTCACTTGCCACTTTCTGCACTAAGTCCTCAACTCCTCCAGCTCCCAGGGCACCTGAGCATACCTGTCCCCTCCTGCTGTGCTGTACCACTGGCTTACCTTCCTGATTGCCCCTACCCCAGGTTGTGTGCAACCCTTTGGGAGCAACCCCAATTCATCTCTGCTTTTCTGCACCTCACCCAGTGCCTGGAAAACTGCTGAATGAGAAAAGGAAGGATGCAGAACTGTTTGTTGTACACCCAGAAGGCACTAAAGCCCATATGGGGCAGGGGACAGAGCTTGAGATCACCCAACTAGAAGCCAGGGGTTGGAGTGGGACCCAGAAGTATGGATGTCTACCAGCTCATGGCAGGAGACAGAATCCAGGATCAGAGAGATGGGGTGTGGGGGATGACATAGTGGTAGGTGACTGGGCTGCAGTGGTGCTGGGAAGAGTCTGTCCAGGAAAAGTCTCGTGTCAGAAATGTCTGGGTGCCTGAGGCAAGGCTTTCTAAGCTGGCTGATGGCCAGAGGCTGTGCTTAGACAGTGCTTGCTGCTGGAGAGCAGCCTCCACTGAGGAATGAAGCCCATTCACAGCATGCCTGCAGCTTGGGCCCACCCCTCACAGGCAGGACAGACCAGGCCCCTTTTTGCTGAATTCAGCTAAAAGATCTGCTTTCCTGCAGTAAGACGTGGAGCGTGAGAGTGACAGCCTGGCCTGCCCCTCACACCAGGGACAGTCCTCCTGGCCACTCTAGGTTTGAAGTGTGAAGGTTCTTCTGCTGGTCAGAAAAATTCCTACCACTCTTACTTTCCCCAGAAAAGAGAACTTCTGGCCCAGCTTTGTGTTTAGCTGATTGTATTGCAATGAATGATGAGACTTGAGGTGAGCAGGGTGAAACCTGAATATAAGATCCAACTAAGATGATCTGTGGATCCATGCTTTATAGAGCAGACCCCTCCACACGAGAGGGAAAACAGTTCCCTGGAAAACCTCCTGGGCCCCTTTCTGGATGGTGAATTTTGGGCTCAGGACCTACTGGGAAGCCCACACCTGACATTAACTAACTTTGTACAGGCTTTATAGCTTACAATGCACTTTCAGACACACTATTGTAACTACTGGCCCCGCCCCCAGAATATATCCTATATAATAAAAGGCTAATATGCAAATCGACCGAACGAAGGAATGACTGGTCGCTATGATGCGCACTGACCACCAGGGGGAAGATGCTCAATACAGGAGCTGCCCCCTGGTGGTCAGTGCGCCAGAAGCTGGGCTCATGGCTGGTGAGCGCAGTGGCGGTGGTGGGAGCCTCTCCTGCCTCCGGGGCAGTGCTAAGGATGTCCGACTGTGAGAGGGTGCAGGCTGGGCTGAGGGACAACACCCTCCCCCGCACGAATTTCGTGCACTGGGCCTCTAGTGTTCTAGAAAAAGAAACTGAAGCTCAGAAATACTGAGAGACCTGCTTAGTCTCCTGCCTAGTTGTTGAAAGAGTTCACCTATGTGAACACAGGTTTTCCAACTCTGAATCCCACATATTTCTACTTGACCACACTGCTTCCTTAGCTGCTTTCTCCACCTGATGTCTGCTGTGGTTCTAGCATGCCAACCAGAGAGGACAGCACCCTCTGGACTTCCTTACAAGCAATCATTCTCCTGGAATCAGGGAGCTGCCAAGCCAGAAAGCATCAGGTGAGCAGGGAGAGAGGGGTCATGCTTGTCCCTGGAGGAGGTGCATTTCAGGGCCCCCCTGGAGAAAAGGGCTGAGTCCAAGGCGGGGTTACTGACACATCCTCCCACCAGCCAATAGGGCAGTGTCCTACACCCCTCCCTGACTCACACACTCTGGGAGTCACCCTCACCGCACCTCAATATTCACGCATAGGTGCTTCTACCAGCACCACCATCTTCCCTACAGGCCTATTCTCCGCCTACAAAGTCAACCCAGAGAACCAAGAGGAATTCACAGAACCAAGTGTTTCAGATGATGGACCAGTCACTCACATGCCAGATGGGAGAGCAAGGTGGATTTTGGGGTCAGGTAGGCCGGTTTCAAATTTCAGTTTGCCTCATTCACTTGCTTTGTGACCCTGAAATAGTCACCGATCCTCTGTGAGAGTCGCCTCCACTCCGTGGGCCTCAGTTTCCTCATCTCTAAAGTGGGATGAGTGAAGGATCAGACAGGATGTTGTGGCTGGTGGTCTCAAGGGCTATGTTGGATGAAAGGTGAGCATTCCCTGTTCCATGCTGAGCAACCTTCCTGGTGACAAGTCTCTCCAAGCAAATACCTTTTAAACTATCATTTAATGGGCGTCTACTGCTTGCCAAGAACTATTCTTAGTGTTCCTGAGATTTTCTTCAATTCTCACAACTTTATGAGGGAAAGATTTCCCCCTTTCACTGCTGACGAGTCAAAGCCCAGAGATCCTGGTCCAGCTCACCCGCCTGGAGGAGGCTGCCTGCGGTCTGTTCTCTACTCCTGCTAGCTTCCTGGAAGGGGGCTCTGTCTAAGGGCTTTTCCTTTGAGTTTGAGTGACAGCCATCTCCGAAGCAGGCATGAACCTTTTCCCAGGCAGCCTGAAGGCTATAAGCAATCTCCCCAGGAAGCCCCTGGAAGCCATTTGCTTCTGCACTCAGGATGGATGCTGGGGGCGGGGAGGCGGATTAGTAATCCCTAGGCTACAGCCAGGACTCCCTGATGACAAAGATTCATGCCTGTGCTGTCATCTTCACTGTTCCAAAACAGTGTGATGATTTTGTTCCTTTTTAAAATGCAGGATATGTATAGCTCCAATTTGTCAAGAATATATAACATCACATCCTTCTTCAATGCAGTGCTTCACTGCCTCGGGGGTACGGAGTGCACTGCTGCGTTCAACCAGAGTTCCCTCTTGTTGCTCAGGGTGAACCCCACCCCCTGAAGCCCTGCTCTCGGGCCTGGGGGTGAGTACCTGCAGCAGCCAGAGAGGAAGTGACTCAGCCAGTGGGAAGTGGGAGGGGCAGTCAGAAAGAGGGCTCTGTGCCCAGCTGCTCCCTCTCAGTCCTCGGTCACTGCCTTTCCTCATAGGACTACAGCATGCTGAGTTCAGCAGTCCTGGGGGCTTGCCGGGGCCTGAAGACCCCGCCGCTCACAGGAAGCCCAGTGGCTGCTGCTCACGGTCCAGCTCTAGTCTCCTCCAGGAGGCAAGGTTACACACACAAGGAGACTCCATAATCAGTGATGTCCGTCTTTACCCCACTGCCCCGAGGAAGTCCTCACTGGGCTCCTCTGTGATTTCCACGAAGGCTGCGGGGACAGACTGGAGGCTAAAGGCCCCTGCCCAGGAGAACGGGTCTCAGAGTGATTCTGGGAGAAAAGGCTCCAGGCTGTGCACACAGAGGTGGACCCGTAGACCCCTCTGGGGAAAAGATAAACAGCATAAGAAACCAGTTCCTGCAGATGGGTCACAGGACCTCACCAGCAGCCACTCCAAAAGCCACCAGAGCAGAATCCAGGGCAGCATCACCAGCCCTGCCACCAGCTCACCCCGCCCAAGGGCCTCCGGAAGCAGCTGATGTGACAACAAATAATCCGTCACTGTGAGTGGGTGTCAGAGGAGGAAGGAACAGACTTAATAGCTCTTTCTGAGCTGTGCTGCCCTGGTATCTCCCTCCAGCGAAGCAGCCTGGGGAAACGGCGAAGAGCACTGTCTTGGGAGACATTCCTGGCGGCCTCTTGGCTCTGCAGGGGAGGGGGGCTTCTGCCATGAGCAGTGATGGCAGACTGGGTCACTGAGACCCCTCCCCAGCATGCCAGCCTCCCTACAACTAGGGGACCCTGGCATGAACAGATGACAGGGAGGTCCCTCAACTCAAACCATCACTTATTACTTTGTGCAGTGACTCAGCCCAGCAAGAAGGCCTGCCACAGGGTCCCACGTGGACTTCAGGTTCTTGCCACTCACAATGGTCCAAATCAGGCAGGAGAATGTAGCAAGCGACTAAAGGAGGGCTGGCTGAGTCGGAGGGCCACCTTTGTGTCCACTGTGTGACTTGGACACGTGTTTCTCTGCTCCTCAGTTTCCCACCTAGTGGGAGAGACAGTGATGCTTCACACAGGTTCCCTGAGGACTGCTGGGAGCCAGAGTGTGGGAGGCACTCGACAAATGCTAAGTTTCCTTCTACCCCAGATTTCCAGAGTGACATATGGGAGAGCCCAGGCCTGGCCTAGGTGCAACGATTCTCTCTCTTTCTACTGTTTTTAATAGCAGAAATCACTACAGTCATCCGGTGAGAAAGGCAATTAGGACTGGGGCCAGCAAACTGCCTTTCCTTAACTGCCTCTATCAAAAATTAAATTCAATTAAACTCCACAATTTTGACAATGAACAATACAGTTCACTTTCTGCGGTTTTACAGAATGCTGCTGGCTGTGGCTGCTTGGAGGGCAAGATTACAGAGGCAGACGGCAGGCCCTGGCCATCAGAGTGCCCCTCAGTGGGCCGTTCAGAGGGGTGGGCCAACACGAGGGCCTCACCCTGCTCTGCCTCTGGGAGGCCAGCCATGGCCAATCCCGAGGGCCACAAGCCTCCATGGACAGACACTGGCAAGCAAACGTTCCTTGTATGTCTGCTCGCCTGTGTCTCTCGAGAGGGTCAGCTCCTGGAGGCAGGGCCTGGGGCCTTGTCCACCTGAGAACCCTGCACAGGCCCAATAGGTGCGCAGAAGACACGCATGAAATAACAGCCAACAAAGTAAAAGAAAATGCACACGCCTGGGGCCCAGCACTGCCAGTTCTAGGGATTTATCTTACAAATATACTCACACCAATTCACAAAGATTAATTGCTCCAGGGTCTTCATGTGTAGCAGTAAAAAAATCACAAAAGACAAAACCACACACACACACACACACACACACACACACACACACATACACCCCTCAGACAGGTCCACCAAGAAGGGACTGGTTCACTACATCATGTTTCATCCAGACAATGGAATAATACACAGTCTTTAAGACTAAAACCACATCTGCTGATAAAGATGTCTATGACACACTACATTTTTAAAAAGCAAAATACAGAACAATTTGTATAACACAATCCCATTTGATTAAAAAAAAAGATTATACACACCTCTGAATATACCTAGGAAATTTCTAGAAGAAACTTAACAATGGATACTTCCATGCAGTGTAACTAGGGGCTTGAGGAGAGGAGGGAGAGTGTTATTTTATATGCTTCCATAACTATTTTACCATAGACTACTATAATAATAATTTTTAAAACTCTAAAAATTTTCTGAATCCATTAAAATTGTTAAGAGCAGTAATGGAATCGGGGGAGGCTGGGCCTCCAAGAAGGCACACAGAGGGAGTATGGCACAGAACACGAGTGTGAGAGTAAGTGCCCTAAATGTACAGGTCTGTGTGCTGACCCCAGGCTACATCAGGAGAGTGGGGAGTGGGAGGGGCAAAACCACCACTGCTGGTACACTTAAGCTCTCCCAGGTAACTTGCAAACATAAGGAACTTCCTGCTTGCCACCTGGTATCCAAAAGGGCTGGGAGGGCCACCAAACGGTTTAAACAGGAGACCTGGAAGCTGGCTCATGACACGGCTTTTGGGACAGTTACAGACCTGCCAGCGAAGAGCTCACCTGGGCCTCTCACTAGAGCTAGCTCCTGGGTGCTGACTGCAGGCCAGACACTAGCTGAACCTGCTATAGACAGTAACACTCGTGTCTAATCCTCATTACTACCTTAGCAGCAAGAAGTATTATGTCCATTTTATAGAGGAGGAAACTGGGGGCTGGAGATAGGAAGTGACTTGTTCAAGGTCACTTAACTGGTTGACATGGTTGAAAGTCTCCTAACCCACTACTCAAAGGGCTGTGGTGGGGGGTGGGAGGGTGGGGGGGCAGGTGGAATTGTCTCCAGGCAATGGCAGTTTCCATTTTCTGACAAAGAAGGGATTCCTTCAGCTTTGTCAAGGTCCCTTCCAGCTCTACGGCTCTATGAGTCCAAGGTTCCATGTGGTTGGCTCCCTGGGGCCAGGGTCTGGCTAGGATGGAGGAATGGGATGGCATGAGTTCCAGAGTCACACAAGTGTGGGCTGGCTCTTCCTTGCTGGCTGTGTAACAGTGTACAGGTTAATAAAGCCCTTTGAGCCTGGGGGTTGTCCTCTGTAAGAGAAATAACTCCTTCTTCCTTAAATGTGAGAAGAATTCAGTATGTATTGCAGAGTACTTAGCCAAGGACCTGGAAGATGTGGGGATCCTTCCTTTTTGGCTGTTTTCCTTTGTTCCTTCAGGAGAGACCACCTTGAGAGCGGAGTCAGAACGGAACACACCCTGTGGAACTTGCCCCAAACACAGTAATGCCAGGAGCTCCTTATCAACTGCAAAACGGAGCAGGACTCTTGCCCCCAGAGTTGGCAGATGCCAGCAGTGGGGTTCCAAAAGCCCCACAGAATTTTGGGCTAGAGCAGTCCAAAGGTCTCCCAAGGGGATGAACCCGGGCCTCTTTCCAAAGCACCTGCTGTTCCCTGATCACACCTCAAACCAGCTCTGCCCTGAACCCAAAGACAAATGACAGGCACACCAGTCCTGTCCTTGACACTTCCCATGGCAACGTCCAGGCCACTTTCTCTTCCATCTGGTACCTGGGGTCAGGAACTCCCTAAAGGCTAGAGATCCTCTATCTTTTTTGACAAGAAGACAGCAGTGTATCAACATATTTAGAGGGGACAGCTTCATTCTGAATGACAAGAGACCTCAGTTTTGCTACCTTTATGCTTTCCGACAATTAGAGTTTCTTTGAATCATCAGGCCTGTATACTGCTATATTAGGGAGCCTAGACTCACACCCAGGACAGACAGCCATTAACCCAAAGAGAATGACTACCACTGGGCTGTAGCCCCCTTAGGAAGGAGGACCTCAATCCCAAAAGTTTACTTTTGCTTGCTGGGGGAAAAGCAGGTTGCTTCAGCTTATTAAAAGGGGCCCAGGGAGCATTTTCTCAACCCATTGAGATTTTGCTTCCTGGCAATCGTCATTTTGGCTCAAATAAATTCTAAAAATCCTTTAAAAATGGGGTTGGGGGGCTAGAAATTCTGTTAATAGTCTATATATATAAAAGCCTAAGCGACCAGCCGACCTACCGACCGGCTGACCACCCAGTAGCTATGATGCACACTGACCACCAGGGGGCAGACGCTCAATGCAGGAGCAGAAACCACAGGCATGGAAACATGGAACAGAATGATGAATCTCAGAGGGAAGGGGGGCAGAGGGGAGGGCGGGAAGAGATTAACCAAAGATCTTATATGCATACTAGAGATTCAGTGCACGGATTCATGCATCGGTGAGGTCCCTTGGCCTGGCCTGCGGGGATCGGGCCCAAACCGGCTCTCCGACATCCCCCGAGGGGGTCCCGGATTGCAAGACCTCTTTGAAGTAGCAACCCCTCTTCTAGAATTTATTCTGCAGATATCTAAGCTGGGCAAGATCACATGTATACAGTCACTTCAGCTTTGTTTGGAGAGCAAAAGACAGAAAATAACCTAAGTACATCAGTAGAGAGCTTGTTGAATAAATGACACACAGATGAAGACACAATGTAGCCTCAAATGATCCAGACGTGCATGTACCAAAGTGGCACCATCTCTAACATAGTAAGCAAATCAAAGCAAGCAATAGCATCCTTTCTCCTTTGGGGGATATTGATTACAAATCCCAGAGGATATGCGGTGCTGCTGTGGGCCGGGTGACCTTCAAAGCCAGTTTCACCTGGGCAGGTGGAGGAGAAAGATGTGCTCCTAGTCAGGCCACTTTCTTTTCCATGCCACGAGTGCAAGGAGAAATTCTGTGGAGAGCTCCGCAATTCCAAAGGGCCTGTTTGAAGCCTTGCAGACCAGCACATCCTTCTCCAGAGCCCAATCCCATTCAAGTCTAGCTCTACACTCCCCTTGAGCTCAGGGGGATAAGGACACTTCCCTTCTGGTTGAGTGAGTCCCAGGGTGCCTCTGGCTGACACCTCTCCTTCCTGAGAAGAGGACTGAGTCTGCTAACCCAGCCTCTGGAGTAAATGCAATCTCAGGGTCTCTTTCTGGATCAGATCTCCAGGAAGCTGGGAAAGCCATCCCTCCCTGGGGGTAGCTGCTGTGCAAGACCTCATCAGTCTGTCCTTTGCTGAATTGTGTGGATGGCGTCAGACTGAAGGGCCATTTGAAGGCAGAAGAAATTATGGGAGCTTTTTAGACTCAGCCACTTGAGTTCCTGAAACATTGAAGAGTTAACCTCCCCAGGCAAATCAGCATGGAGGGAAGGGGAAAGAAGGGAAGCTGCCCTTCTCTCAGGCACTGACTCACGCCAAACCAGAGGGAAGCCTGGCCCAAAGCCAGACAGGGTGCCACAGGCTTCACAACTGATCCTGTCCCGTGAGAGTGTGCGCAGGGCTTACTGAATAGAGCTGGCGGGTTTCACTGGTCATTGTCTTCTCCTAGCCATCCTATCTCTACAGTATTATTCACTCTGTCACCCAAGCCAGGAACCTCTGAGTCACCTGCCACCATTGCTCCTCCCTTAATCATCACTTCCAAATACTCCCAGAGTCTAGCTGATTTCCCCCCAAACAGCTCTGTTCTCTGTCCTTCCTCTCCATCCCAACTGCCTCTGCCCTGATCCAGCCCCCCACTAATCCTTGCTTTGAATATTGCAACAGCCTCTTACGGGGACTCCCGACTTGCTTTCTCCCCAATCCATTCTCTACCCACAGCCAGACAGCCCTTGGGAAGATGCAAGTCTAATGTTTCCTCCACTTAAAGCATCCGACCACCAAAAGAATACTTAGTTCAAGCAGTTTAGCCCTGGTGCCTACTCCGCCAGCATGTCCTACAGCCAGGTGCCTTCACACCCTGTGCTTGAACCTCTGTGGTTCCTAAAGTGCACACACACCAGCACACAGCCAGGCCTGTGCCCTGCTGCTCCCCTGCTTGGAGTGCTTCATGCGCCCTCAGAAAACTCAGCTCACCCTTCAAGATCCAGTTTAAGCTCTAAGGACTCTCCAAAGTTCTCCCCAATCTCCTCATCTTCCAGGGGAATCGGTCTTTCCTCTGGGTTCCCACTATATGCTGCACAGACTTCTGTGAGAGACTTGCCAAGCTCTATGCACGTGTTAATTGGTTAGGAGCTTGCCCTGTCCCTGCTGCTACCGCTCTGCTCTCCTTCTGCCCCCATCACCCCTCCACCCTATACCCAGCACATCCTCAGCAACACATGGGAGCTTGTGTGTGTGGAACCCGAGGGCTGGATTTTGAGTCATCACACACAGCAATATGTTTCCTGCTGACACTAATTCAGACAGCAGACTAGGTCACTAATAGGGACACACATGGAAGAAATTCTAAATACTTTTTCTCAGCATTCCTATTTCTATTTTAAAAAATGGTTCTTTTAAAGAGCCAAGCTGAATCATTCGAATGGCTCCTATACGGACTGGGTAAACCCCCGACAGATTTTTCTGTTCAGAAAGAATACAATAAAACTGTGATTTTGTGATGCCTTAGGACACTTCTGACAGCTCATTGGGACACAGTACTAGTTGCCACTAACTGCATTGACTAGTTCGTGGAAGTTCTTTTCTGCAGCCGTAATAACAGCTAACGCTCGGTGTGTGTTAAACGCTCAACCTGCCACATCTTACTAACCCTCACCACTGCCCTGCTAGGGAGGGGCTCTGACTGTCCCTATTTCACAGATGAGAAAGCCAGGCATGGAGAGAATAAGTAACCCTCTAGTGACTGGCAGGGCTGGGATTAGAACCCAGAGATGACTGCAGAGCCAAGTAGGCTCTTCACCACTACAAACTGCTGCCTTCCCAAATCGTCACATTCAAGGCACAATGGAGCAAATGCAGGACCCCCTACAACTGGCCTTCTGAGAGGGCAGCTCACCTCTCCAGCTGCTCAAGCAATCTGCCATCCCAGGAAGAGAGGGGCACATGTACCAGGCACTTCTGTAAAGCAGAGCAGTCCAGGGCAATGAAGGGAGCTTGTCACCTGCCACTGGTAGCACAGAGTGCTTTCTCAGCAAAGACCTACCACCCCAGCACCACGTCTCCACTCTTAGAGGCCTGCAATGGCCTCTGAAGGTCTCCAGTCCTTTAGTCTCTCCTCTTCCTCTTCTGCTGGGACTCAAAGGAGACAGTTCTAAACCTAGATCCAATTATGACACTTCTTTGCTTAAAACCTTCTCACAGGCTCCCCATGGCCCTTGGCACAAAGTCCCAAATTGTTAATGTGGTGTTCTCTTGTCAACCTATACTGCTTTACCTTGCACCATGTTGACTTTCATGCCACCATATGGAACAGTCTGAGGTTTCTGGAATAAACTATGAGTGTACTTGTCTCTCTCTAAGTAGAACACCTTGCTTCTTCACTCTCACCTGGCTAGGACATCCCATCCGTCTAGATAAAGCTCCCACATAGTCACTTTGGCTAAACCTTCCCAAGACCCTCCCCCTACCCAGGCTGAGCTAGCAGGTTCCTCTGCTGGGTTCTCACAAGCCTCTTGTTCCTGCTGCTACTAGCTTTTTCATACCACACTTCAACTACCTGTCTATAGGGCAGTCCCCTTTACCAGATCATAGGCTTCTTCAAATAAGAATAATAGCTAACACTTACTGAACTCTTATTATGTGGCAGACGGTGGTTCTATGTGTTAACTTTTTAAATCTTCCTAACAACTCTATGTTATCACCTGTTTTAGAGATGAGAACAACCGAGGCACAGAGAGGTTAAACAAACATGCCCAAGGTCACACAGCTAGAAAGCTGCGGAGCCAGAATTTGAATTCAGGAAATCTGACTCCAAAGCCATCTCTTAAAAAATAAATAAATTATTGATTGATTTATTATTTTTTTTTTGAGAGAGAGATAGATAGAGAGAAAGAGATTTGTTGTCCCACTTATTTATTCATTCCTTGGTTGCTCCTTGTATGTACCTGACTGGAGTTTGAACCCCAACCTTGGCATATAATGAGGACACTCTAATCAACTGAGCTACCTGGCCAGGGCTTCCAAAGCCCACTTTTAACCACTATAATATAGGTTACTTGCCTCTCCAGGTAAGCTTACTGTTGTTGTCTTGTGGGTAATGAATGAATGAATGAATGAATGAATGAGGGCTATCTCCAGACTGTCTAGATCTAACCCACAAACAACTGGCACGGCAGGGCCGTCAAAGCGCTGAAGCAGCTCACAAGCACTGTTTACAAACAGTTACATATTCTGCTCTTCCTTATCTCATGAAAGCTAAGCCAGGAGGGAAAGGAGCCCAGCCCAGAGTGACTACCCTCTTCCCCACTGCGCTCAAAACCGAGCAAAGCCAACCGGTTTCCTCCCGTGACTTAAAACAGAGCAAAGTCTATCCTGCCACAGAAGGCGGCTGTCATCTCTTCCTTCCGCCAACAAACCGGCATCAAACCTACGGAGTGGGGGTGTGCAGAGAAACCCAACGCCCCACCTACTGGCTGGAAGGTGAGGCCAAGTGGCGTGGGAATGGGCGGGCCTGACCCGGCAAGACAGGTGAAAGAGTGACCACAGCACTCTCCTTGAAAAAGGCCGACCAAAACACAGCACTAGCAAGCAGGTAGCTCTGACCCGCACCTGGACGCCCCCGGGAAGCGAAAATTCCCCAGCAGTGATGGTGCCCGTGCCAGCGGGTGAGGGCTCCCGGAGGAAGTCCGGGCTGGCTCACCCTGGGGACTCGTTCTAACTTTCAAGTCACTCTCGGATCAGGAGCGAAGCATGGAGAGGCAGAGGGATTTCTTGGGGAAAACCTGCTTGGTTCAAACCGCCCGGGGCTTTCACTTACGGGCGGAGTGACCTCTGGGCAGGGGCTGGCAGTGCCCCCCCCTCCCAGGCTTCCCGCAGGACTAAGGGTCCCCGAGGCCCCCGGCCCCGGCGCGCAGCAGCTCCCGCCCCCCGCCCGCCCGGGAACCGCAGACCCCAGCAGAAGAGGGGGCATTCTCTGTTGCCATTTCTGTCACAGCCAGACGGCCTCGGGCTGTCACCACAGTCCCATCACCACAGCCGCCGAGGCCCGCCCAGAAAACCCGCACCCTCCGCCCGGCTCCCCGCTCCCGGACCCCCGCCCTCACCTTCCCCCGCTGCTCAGCGCTGCTCGCCCATAGTCCGTAGCCCGGAGCCGGGACTGCTCGGAGCTCCGTCTCGGGGGGGGCCGGGCCGGGGCCGGGCCGGGGGCGTGGGACCCGCTCACCGCCGCCTCCCAGCGCAGCAGCCCGAGCCGCCGCCGCCGCCGCCTCGCTCCATGGCTGCGGCGCCGCCACCTGACAACGGAAGTGACGCACAGCCCCCTCCTCCCGGCCCTGGCCGCAGCCCCGCCCCCTCTCCGGGCCCCGCCCCTCTGCCGTGTCTGCGGCCTCACGGCGTTGGGATTGGGTACTATCTTGACGATGGGCGGAAGCCTTCAGGCAAGAGGCCAGATTCCAAGTGCGGATTGGTTCGGGGTGGGGTCCGGGCCGAGACCTGTGAAAGGATTGGAGGCTGAGATGCTAAAGGGGCGGTACTTACCGCTTATCTAAGTCTGCGGAGAGGCTCGGCCTGAGGCACCGCCCCCGCCCCGACTCCACCGCACCTCGCGTGCCCTACAGTCTCGCCCTGCCAGGTTTGGAGAAGTCTCCAGTAGTTGGCCAGCTGTAGTGTATTTATCAGAAAAATGGTCCTTCCTAGAACCCCATTTCTCGGTTTCTGGAGTTCTGTGCGGAGAACGCTGCGGTTAGATTCAATAAATGACAGGAATTCCTGTCGTAGCCCTCACAATTCCTTTTCCTCCGGGCCCCTCGCTTTTGTTGACGCCCCGCTTCAACCTGAAGATCCCTGAAGCCTTGACCAGGAAGGTTTACAGTGAACAGTTGTATTAATGATTCCAGTCATCTAACCTCAGCCCCTCCTGTCGCAGTTTCGGTCCCTTTCTCCTCCTCCTCCAGCAACCACGCCCTCCATGAATCAGCTTCTTACACCAGCAGATGAGCCCTTTAAAGGGATTGATTGCATCAGGCTGGTGACTCACTGGGGCCCTCTGAGAGCCTGGCTTCCCTCCCCTGGCATGCAGAAGCAACTAAAAGGGCTCAGTGGCAGCGGCACCCGCGACCATGGCCGTCACTTCTTTGTTTCAGAGGATGTGAGCTGGGGTGCTTGCTGCATATGACTGCCTGATTCCTGGGTGTCTTGCCAGCTGTCCCTTGGGTCACTCTGCTTCCATGTGTGGGCACACGTGTCCAAACCTGTGTGCACTGCTGGGTTTTACTAGGGCAGGTGGCCAGGCACTTACCTGTATGTGCATTTGTCATCTCTATACAGGCAGTGCCAGGACATGAGAGTTGGTGTATGAATCTGACTGCCTCCTCCTGTGTCTATCTGAATGTCTGGTGTTCACTGAGCTGATGGGGCTGAATAACAAAACAGTCATCAAAACAGCTCCCGCTGTGTGTCACAACCCGTGTCGAGCACTTTAGAGACATCAGGTTAGGAGTCTATTTACAGATGAAGAATCTAGATCTCTGAGATGGGAAATAAGCTGTTCAAAGACACACAGCTTATAATGGCAGGGCTGTGATCTGAACCAGCTCTGGCAGATGGTGAAAAGACTGGATTTGAATCCTTACTTCACTCCTTACAAGCTGACTGATGAGTGTAAGTTCCTCAACCTTCGCCACCTGTCAAAATAGGGATAACACTTCATGGGATCACTGTGAGCGTTCAGTGTGTGGAAACGGCTTCTCACAGGACCTGGCGAGTAAGAGTGCTTTATACGCACCTCAGTTACAGAGCTCTGATGAAGCGGGTGACAAAGTCAGGCACAAAGAAGCCAGCCCCTGCCCCCAAAGATTTCCTCTCTGACAAAGGGAAAAGCCTAGGGATTCCGGAAGCCCTGACTCTGACAGGAATGAGTTTTGGGTTTTCCAGAGCTCTAATTATCAGCTAGATGAATCACTAGGAGCTGACACCACCCCCCTCTACCCCCAGGAGACTTCCAGCTGATTCAAAATATAGGATTTTAACAAAGGAGAGAAGGAGGGAGAGAAAGTGGGGGAGGAGAAGAGGTAATGAATAGAAACTAAAGGTGCCAGCCAGAGGAAATGAAAGGACATCAGTATGAGACTGCTTTCTCTCTCTCTCTCTCTCTCTTTCTCTCTCTCTCTCTCTCTCTCTCTCACACACACACACACACACACACACACACACACACACGGTGACACACTCTCCTGCTGCCTCTCCAACTCTGGGCATACTGGCAGACAATGCTGCCAAAACAAAGTGACGCCTATGACAATAGCATGAGATGGTTGCTTGATGAGGTATAGGCAGGCCTATCACAGAAGGAGAGGAGGAGACCTTCAACCCTGATGAGCTTACTCAGCCTTCTTAAACCCAGCAAATCCTTCTTACTGGCTGTCTTCTGGCTTCTCTTTGTGGCCAAGCCCCAAGGCCTGGGTATGGCAAGTTCTGAGTGCCAGGCCCACACCTGGTGACTGGGAACCAGCACTGAGATGAGCAGGGCACTGCTTATCTTACTCTGTCATCAGTGTGATGTCAGGAGTGCTAGGGAGCAGAATAATGTAGTGTAGTATCATGGAGTTTGAGTCATACAGACCTGAGTTCAAATCCCACTGTGCTGTTCACTAGCTTTTCGACTTTGAGCAAGTCACTTAACCTCTTTGGGTCTGTTTTCTCATCT